TACACCCCACTGTCTCAGCTTTCTAAGCCTCTCCTCATCACTAAAGCTGTGTTTCACTGAAGCACACTTGTTTCCACACACAGCTCTGAGGGGCTCTGTGCTCAACAGAGGGCATGGCAAAGGCTGGACCTGCCACAGCGCGTAAGCTCATGGACAGAGTCTAACTTTCCTGGACAGACTCTGCCCAGCTGCTGCTGTGTCGCTCTGGCATGCCCAGGGCCAGTGCACACCATCCTTTGCATCTGGCCTATCCTGGGTCTTGTCACTGTTGGAACACACCAGTACAGACTACAGAGCTATTCCATCAGAAAATATCACATCACAAACGTCACAACTGAGACTATTCACACAACTCCCAGGTACTCCACACATTATTAACATGCTAGAGCAACGGAAATATAATGGAACTAAGAAAAGGAAATAACAGCAACAGTCAGCCTTATTCTCATGTGATTATGAGTATTTACTCCACAACTTTAAAGGACAATAGAGCATCAACACGATATCAATTGTCCAAACAGCTATTCTCTCCAAGATAGTCCCCACTTATATGGTCTTTTCTTGTATTATATCACTGTACAGAAAATTCAAAAATAAAAAATATTTTTTGTTTTGTTTTTTAAGACAGGGTTTCCCTATATAATCTCCCTGGCTGTCCTAGAACTCACTCTGAAGACCAAGCTGACTTCCAATTCAGTGTCTCTGCCTCCAGAGTACTGGGCTTAAGGGCATGCGCCACCACTGCCCAGCTGAAAAATAATTTTTGTTTGTTTGTTTGGTTTTGTTTTTCGAGACAAGGTTTCTCTGTGTATCTTTAACTATCCTAGAACTCACTCCATAGACCAAGCTGCCCTTGAACTCACAGAGATTTGTCTACCTCTGCCTCCCCAAGTGCTGGGATTAAAGGCGTGCACCACCATACTTGGCCAGGAAAAGAAAATTTAAAACATAAAATAACACCCAAGTACAGGATGTGTAAAAAAAAAAAATAGTTAAGATGGGCAATTTAATTATTAGAAAATTAAATGCCAAAAGATAATCTAACTAAATGACCAAAAGGAAAGCTATCATACACAACCTTTAAGTGCTTTACAGAATCTTGGCATTCTAGCAGAGTCTCAGGCATTCCCATACAATTCTCTTCTCCATGGATGATACACCTTGATTCTGACCACCTGAGGCTCGGATTCTACTTCACAACAAAACTCACATGAAAGAGTTTCCTAATCTCAATAGACTCGGAAAGATATTTTAAAAAAATAAAAACGTAACATTTTACTGAATTCAAACAGTGAATAATCTATAAGCTGCCTCTGATCAGTGTGCACTCAAAAATCCATCAGTAAATAACTGCTTGGGAGCCGAAGCTTTTTAATACGTAATGTGACCCAATGGACAATAGTTCAGTTGAAATAATATTACTGTGTTTAGGCTGAGATGGCATTGTTCAGCTGATGGGCACCTTTGGGAGGACGCACACAAACCCAGCCTGCAATCAAGCAGGCAGAGCACCGGAAAGTCCCCAGGCTCAGGGGAGTTTTAGGTCCAAAGCCAAACAGCTATTCAGCAGTGTAGTGAGTGAAGTTTCCTTCTAGAAGGTTCTTAGGGCTCCCTCACCTTAATGGGAATTTTTTTTTTTAATCTTGAGGTGTTCACAGATACAAAACAAGTTTCCTTGATCTTAACATTCTCCATGCAGGTTTCACAGGGCCAATTTCAAAACACACTACATAATTTACCTAATAATTCTTGACCCTAAATGCAAGAACATTTTTGTAAGGTAGAAATACTTTTGAAACAAAATTAAAGAAATCAGGAAGAATACTTAAAAATAAGTCAACAAATGTTAGGTTTAAAAGCAAAACTATGAACTTGAGGAGCGCCTGAGGTAACTGATTTGAGAGCCCAGCCCGGCCGCTCACTAGCCATGTGATCTGCAGGAGCGATTTTAGCCGTTTTAGCTACAAAAGAGGACTATTACCTCATCCTCACGGTGAGCAGATCCCTAACACACACACACACACACACACACACACACACCCCAAACCAAGCAGGTTTCTTTCCAACTGTATGTCTAGTGTGTAACTCTTCAGGTGCTCTCAGTCCTTCCCAAGGTCTCCTTCGGGACAAAAGGTCCACAACTTCTGAACTTTCTAAGTTACTTCTTACTGGTAGGACAGTCAGGGCCCTCTGACCTCTACCTGGGAAATACCAGGAGCCCTGCTGAGATAACGAACGTGTCCACAGGCATCCAAGTTTGCCTCAAACAATGCTTCTGCAGCCTGAGAAACCCTTTAAAGAACTGGTTCTCAACCTGCGAGTTGTGACCCCTTTGGTCAAATGACCCTTTTAGGGGTCATGGACCCCTAAAACCATCTGCATATCACCTATTTACATTATGATTCATAACAGTAGCAAAATTACAGTTATGGAGTAGCCAAAAAAAAAAAAAATTGGGAGAGGGGCTTTGAAATGGGTTTCTGAGTATCTGTGGCTATCCTAGAACTCACTCCACAGACCAAGCTGGCCTTGAACTCCCAGAGATTTGCCTACCTCTACCTCCCTAGTGCTGGGATTAAAGGCATGTACCACCATCTGGCTAACAACAAAAATAACTTTATGGCTGGGGGTCACCACAACAGGAAGAACTATATTAGGAGGATGCAGCATTAGGAAGAACTGTATTAGGGGGATGCAGCATTAGGAAGAACTGGATTAGGAGATGCAGCATTAGGAAGGCTAAGAACCACTGCTTTAAAGGAACTGTATGCTAAGGATGTAAATTCACTGTAAAAACAGCCATGTGGAGCAACACTGCTGAAGCATTCTCTATGCTTTCCAGAACAGGAATATATACGATACTCTGCCCTCCTATCAAATGCAAACAGTATGGTGTTTTTTAACAGACGATATGTATTTCTAACTATTACTATTATTACTTGATTCTTTGGCTGTTAGAAAGCTTAAAAGCAAATTCAGCTTTTCTTTAATATTGACACACAAAACAAATTTATATACACTGAATCTCCTGTCAATCAAATTAATGTTTTTACTCAAAATCTATCAGTTTCCTTGAGAATCTCAAGTGTTTGGATCATATTCACCCCCTCCCCACACTCTTCCCACAACCACTCCCCTTTTCCTAACCATTGTGCCTTTTTTTAAATTAACTTATTTCTTACTATTTAATGGCAACATGGTATTTCTGTGTATGGACAACTCCGTTTTGAATAAGAATAGGTACAAAATGGGTGGATTATCCTTTATGTACATGTTACTATTCCTCTCCAAGTTTCTTTCTCTGAGACCTGGCCCCTGCAAGTGCTTCCATTAATTCTTCCCATTCAAAGCACATAACTACATGTAATTAGTTCAACAGACTGCGGCAGATCCATCCCCATATACACACAGCTTTCTGGTTACATTTTTCTAGATTTATTAAGCATGCATTTTCCCCGTAGCAAGGAGGACATTATGTATGCCATATCTGCCCCAGCACATCGGCCTGGGGAGTGGTGGGAAGATGACAGAGAACTCAAATGCCCTTTGCTCACACCGGTGCTTGTTCTGTCCACTGTCCCTGCTCCTGTCCAGCAGGAGCACTTGGAACTCGTCCTAAACTCTGGTGCACAACAGATGGTGACAGGAGGGTCCCACCTTGCACAGGTGACATCTGTGACTCTTATTACCCGGCCTACACCCTCGGATTATCCTGGGCAATACTAAAAGAAATTCTTTCCATGTTAATCCTAAACATGACAAAGCAGGCTGTGAAGACACAGACATGACGAGGATCCATAAGGCTAAGTGGAATAGATTTAAATGAAATTACTCAGCTGGCAGGGGGAGGGGGATAGTACTGTTAGTACCTATACAGACATTTAAAAAAAAGTCAGGCAAAAGACACAGACAGAATAGTCTACACTGTTCTACTTGACAAGAAATTCCAGAAAATGTAAAATTCTCTATTGACAAGAAACCAAATGAGTTACAACTACACAGAAATATACAGAATACACAGAAACTTTCAAAACTGATGGAATGCATATTTTTAAGTCATATCTTGATGAGAAAGGAAGGTTCATGGGTTATACATTTATTAACTCTCATACAACATATACTTATAATTTGTGCAAATGTGGTATTATCGGTAAAAGCACGTTAAACTTGAACTGGTGGTATGAAAACATCAGACAAACCAAGTGGATAAACATCCTACAAGACAAAAGCTAGCAGAGTCTCTACAATGCTGAGGTCACAAGATACAAAAAGAACAAAAGAGAGAAATAAAGACCATGGGATTTTAAGGAGGGATCATAACTGAATGCAAAGTGGGATTCTAGAATAACGAAAAACTAGTGGAAAGCTCAGCAACACTGAACACTGTAGCTAATATACTAATACCTATCAATGTTAATTTCCTTGTTTTGATACTGTATCACAGTTATGTATACTTTTTAAGAAGCATCAGGTCCCACGGAGTTAGAGACATGCAGTTCTGAGCCACTGGATGTGGGTCCTGGGAATCGAACTCAGGGTCTCCAGAAGAGCGGTAACTACTTTTACCTGGGAGCTATCTCTCCAGCCCCAGAAATAAAGTTTTTACGAATCTATTATATTGTATGTAAATTTTAACTCATTAGAGTTGCCCGAAAATTATCAAATTCAAATTATTAAGAAATAATCCCTTTCAGCCTGGATCTTTTACAAAATTCCCTAAGTGCATTTAAGAGTAAGACTAGAAGAACCTGAAGCCACCCTGATAAAACACAACATGCTCCTCCTGCCCGGAAAGGACCACTAAGTTTACAAAGGTTCTCAGACCAAAATAAAAACCCTCCATAATATCCTTAGAATTGTGCTGCATAAATAATGAAAGTGTTAGTGTTCAAATTCTAACAACCAAGTGATTGAATTCACAAAGCCCTGGAATGAGAGCAAAGGAGAATACACAGAGGAACGTGTATATTTAGAGAAAAAGTAAAAATTTTACGGCATACCTCCTCTGTTTCCATTCTCTTCATCCTACAAAATAAAACAAATACATATATGAGCCCAATAGTAAACTGTTAGCTGATCACAACCAGACTGAAAGCAAATTATTGGTATATAATTGATACCAATTAGAATATTACTAAGCACCTTTGTTAGAAGGGTGGAGTTTTCACAAAAAAAAAAAAAAAAAAAAAAAAAAAAAAAAAGGGCTGTGAGTGAAGCCAGAGCAAGAAATCAACTAGCTCTGAAGTGTGTGGGGGTGGGGTGCATCACGGAGACACTTAGGTGGAAGTACCACACAAGCAGCCGGAGAGATGAGAATCTACCGTATTACAGGGGCCTTCAGTGAGCACTCATGAGCTACGACAGGATACAGAACTAACCACTACATGTTTAAGTTCCTGAACGCAATTGGGTTTATCTGTTTGGTGTCTTTAGGCTCTTGCTGCCATGCTGCCTATGTCTAGCTAAGAAATTAGCAAGCAACTTTAAAAAGCTAGTATGAAAACACATCAAGACGAATATTTGCTGAGCCTTGACCGAATCAAAGCTACCATGCATTGTAGAAAGGAAAGTGGAGCTCTGGCTGAAGGCTAGTGATTTATTACATAACTCTTGACCTTTATTTTGGCTGCCCAAATGTTGTTTTTCTTCTTCTTGTTATAAGCTCTGTTCTGAGACTAATCGGCTGCCAGCTAAGTCACATAATAGAGACGCTGTTTTTAATCAATCGGATACTTTCTAAAAACTATATAACACTAAAAATTATTTTAAATTCTTTTAAGGCTGGGAGTATAGCTCAGTGATACAGTGCTCCCCTAGCAAGTGTCATGTTTAAGGCCCTGGGTCTAACTCCTCAGACACACACACACACACACACACACACACACGCACACACACACACATGCATGAGCACCCAGTCCTTGAGTGAATTGATAAAATTTCAATATGAAAGTGGAAAATACTCTAATATATATTTCCCAGGGAGGGAATATAAAAAAGTCCTATGTACATGAATATCTGCACCACACCCCAGCATTACATGGCTCTAGCAAGCATTACTGTCTATCAGTTCCCATTCCCATTGTCACCACACCGCCATGAGCAAGGCACTGCTGGTGTCTCACAAGTGCGATACTCAGGGTCACAGAGCTCACGTGGGACAGAGATGGGGATCAGACCAGATTTTTTCGACTCTACAAATACTTTCTAATACAGATACATTTTTAACCTGTGTTAATTATTTTATGAAAATTGTATTACCTGTATGATCCTTGTGATCTAAATGAAACAAACAAAAATGACACAGCTCTAGCGTGTGTATCTAGTAAATATGTAAGAAATATTATCAGAGCTTTTAAGATCAATAACTTCTTAAAGCAGCTAGACAGTCGCTGTACAGACATTTTAGGAAACATGACTGATAAATTTTAAGTCCAATGGCAGTAATTATTCATAACCACTGACATATTCAGTGCCTTTAAAAGACTATCCTGCAATTCATTTCCTTGGAAAGAGGTGTTTAGGGAAATGAAGTGAGGGTCCAGGTATGGTAGCACACCTTTAATTCCAGCTCTCGGCAGACAGGAGGAGGCAGAGAGCTGTGAGTTTGAGGCTAGCCAGAGCTACATCTCAAAAACTGAACAACTAAAAGACACTGTGATCTCTAGATACAAGTGGATATTATCTTTATATGTCTTTAATCAATACATTACCCAAGTTCAAATTCCAGAGCAACTCTACTTATAGGACTTAACCCAGTCTCCACGTCTGTTACATGGGGCTAATATACTTGCTCCACATCTCTGCTGCGGATGAAATAAGCTAGCACTAGCAATGGCAGGGAAGAGGAATGATCACAAACACGTCAACTGCGCTAAAACCATCACACGCTGACCCTTTCAGACGGGAGCACTCTCAACTGGAGCATATTCGTGAAGCTTACTCTCGTCACTGTACTTCAAAATTCTGACTTACCATCATATGCTACATTGGAAAGTTAGCAGCTTCTATTCTTATTAATTTTCTGAAATCACCAGCATATTTTAATCAACAGTTGCCATAGTCTGCCCAGAGCCTACAGAAATTTTCTAGATCTAGGGAAGTCACACACCACAAAGAGTAAAATGAAGCTTAGAAGTCACCAAAAAATAGATCTAGAGTTTAGAATCAGTATATTTCAGAAATTAAAGATTGTTATAGGTTTAAAAATATATATATAAAAGATTTTAAAAAACAAATATGTCACTCATTTTAAGATAGAAAAGAGGGGAAGGGGGGAGGGGAGGAGGGGAAAGCCCAGAGGGGATGGGATTCTCTTACCTTATATGAAAACTGAATGGCAGACTCTGGGGGATAAACGATGAAGTGTCTCAGTGTAAAGCCAAACCCTTGCGATGTTCTCTTCAGCATGACTGTTTTTGGACCTGGCCAGGAGAACGGCTCATCTTCAGATGGTGACACAGTTTCACTTTCTTCTTTTCCATCTTTATTCTTTGACACCTAAAGTGCAAAGATATGTAACGCTTAACTACAGAACACAACATACTTAATTTAGGAAAGGTTTTAAGTTCAAACACTTATAAATATAAGTATAAATATGAACTTTATGTAGAGGTCATTATTTGCTGCTAGAGTTAAATGAATCACAACCACCAAAATCACAAAGATGTGCATACGTGCATGTGTGCGAGCATGCGTATGGTGTATATACATGTGTGGGCACCTCTACATGCACGCTGGGGCCAGAGGGTATCTTGTGTCTCCTACCATTCTCTGCCTTATTATCCTTTGAGACAGGGTCTCTTGTTGAACCTGGAGTTTACGGTGTTTGACAAGGTTAGGACAGCAGGCAGCAAGGCCCAGCATCCTCACTGTGGATGACCTGCTCATTAATGGTGCGTGCAGAGCTTGTCAAGTGGGTACTGGGACCTAAACTCTGGTCTTTATCCTGCACAGCAATGCTCTTACCTCTGAGCCATCTCTCCACCACCCCCAAACTAAAACTACAAATATATATATATATATAGTGGAAAATTAATGAGCAAGAGAGAATTCTTATTGGCACAATAATTAAAACTAAAAATGTCACAGACAGCATGGAAAATGACACTAAGGAAATCCCACAACACATAAAGGGCCAAAGGAGAAACAATGAAAGAGAGGCAGAACTCTCAGCACGGAAGGAGAGTAAGCCATGTGGTCCAATGCAACAAATACTAGAAAACTAGCAAAGACCTCAGCTCTAAGCCTGAATTACATATGCACAGAGATCACAATCCTTTCAAGATTCTGGCTTTTGAGGTCCCTTGATCTCTGCTCTTCAGCCTTTTCCTGACCAAGACTAAAAATCCTTTACAGATTAAACCAAAATCCTCACTTATTAAGTATCTCTTAATTCCTGTTGTTCCCTCTTACACTGTGCCTCACCAACCCCAAGTCTTCACGCTTCTCTTAAAAAGGCTTCGATTTACTTACTCCCTTAACCTTAGATTCTTCAAAACTCCTCACTGTCACCTGAATAGCCCAGGAGCAATCCACATTGCCCGCTTGAAGCTTCAGCCTTTCCAGATGAACACAGGTGGAGAGAAACAAAGCCGAGCTGGTGGCGTTCACTTTAATGTCAGACCCTGCAGTACTGTCACTCAGAGATACATGACATCTTGTCTCCTCATCCTAAGCGGCTATTTCATCCCTTCTCCCTCACCCTCACTGGAAGGCAATGACCCTACCAGGATTTCACAATGAGAAAACAGAGTTATAAGGAGAACATAATCCCCTGGCATCTACCAACCCACTCTCCCCATGTTTTTCTTGATAATAACTGAAGTCCCTGTTCTAATACCTGCTAGCTATGTAATGGCCCCTCTCCTACATTCTCTAAGACTTCTATCATGAAGGCATGTTGGATTCTGTTTCTTCATCTATTGAGATGACCATGTGATTACTGTCTTTAAGTCCATTTATGTAGTTTATGACATTTATTGTCTTAAATGTGTATCTTATTTGTGATTCTTTAATGTAGGCACTTAAAAAGTTATCAATTTTCCTCCTAAGACTGCTTTCAATGAGTCCCAGAGGTTTTGCTGTATTGTATTTTTGTTTATCATTTAGTTACAAGTTCATTTTTATTTCTTTCTTGGACCCATCCATCATTTTGATTACTCTCCATGAATTTGCATATTTATTAGAGATTTGTTTGCTATCTATCTTAAGTTTTATTGCACTGAGATCAAACAAGATATAGTAGTTTTGTTTGTCTTTTACTTTGTAAAAATGTTTTGTGCCCCAGGATATGATCTCTTTTAGAAAAGCTTCCATGTACGGCTAGGTAGAATGTGTATTCTTTGGTGTTTGGGTGGAATATTCTGTGGATCTGACAAATCCACTTGATGTATGATGTCAACTAATCCTGATGCTTCTATTTTTTGTCCAGATGACCTGTCTCTCAGAGAAAGTGAGGTATTAAAATCACCTACTATTAATGGACTGACACTAATCTTTGTCTTTCAATCAGTAGTACAGTTTTTTAATGACACTAATTGCACAAGAGTTTGGTACATATGTACCAAATTAATCACATACTTTAATGTAACCATTCCCTTGATTAGAATGAAGTTTTAGTTTTAGTTTGAAGTCTAGTCTATCAGATATTAGGATAGGAAGACCTGTTTGCCTCCTACCAGATTTGATTGGAGTATTTTTGTCCATCCTTTTGCTAAGGTGGTGCCCATCTTTAAAACTAAGATGTTTCTTGTAAACAACAGATAATTGAATTTTGCTTCTAGATCCATCCAGTAAGTGGCCCTTAATTGGAGAATTGAGGACATTAATATTTAAAGCTGCTACTACTGTAATGTGTTCATCATGGTCAGCATGTTGTTGACTTCTGGTACTGTTTGCGCTCTCACGGGTACCTTGTGTTAGAGTAATTACAGCTTTGTGCTTCTCTCCCCAGTCTGCTATGCTCACTCCTCTCTTCAGCCCAAAATAATGCTTCCTGTACTTTCCTACTGGTTTTTTAGGATATAAAAATTTTTTTAGGCTATTTATACAATGGAAAGTTTTCTTTTCTCCTTTAATTAAGGCAGATAGTTTTGCTAGGTTTATTAGTCCAGGCTAGCTGTTGTGGTCTTTTAGGATTTAGAATGCTCTGCTCCAGACTCTTCTGGCTTTCAAATTTCCTAAATGGAATGTGTGTGTGTGTGTGTGTGTTTCTCTTGAAGCTTTAAGTATACTTTCTTGGTTCTGCATACTTATTGTTTTAACTATGATATGCCATGGGGATTTTCTTTTCTGTCTTGTCTACTTGATGTTCTGTGTACTTCTTGCATTTGTATTGGTAGAAAGTTTTCTTCTATGATCTTATTGAAGATCTGATCTATGCCATTCATTTCAGATTCTTATCCCTCATCTGTGCCTATAATTCAAAGATTTGGTTTTCTTTATGGTGTCTTACATTTCCTTTTTTTACTTTTCTGCTGCATATTCCTTGCTTATTTGGTTTAGATCCTTTACTTTGTCTAAGAGTCCTGCTAAACTATCTTGTGCTTGATTCATTCGACTTGTAAGGTTTTCCTTTTGAGTTTTCTAGTTGAGTTATTGAGTTTTTCAATTCCACCTTTATTTCAGTTTGAATTTTCTTCGGTGTTTCTATCTCCTTGAATTTTGTTCTCAGATCCTGGATTGTCTTCGTCATGTCTGTCAGCCTTGTCTGTGTCTTCTTGGGCATCACTCAGACATTTATTTTTCTTAAGTTCTTTCTATTTAATTTCATTGAGCTGCTTCTTTCTGCCATATTTAAATTCCTTGAATTCTTTGCAGAAGTTTATAGTTGTCCTTTTAAATTTTGTGTCCAGGGATTTTTTTTTTAGGTGATTCTCATTGGCAAACACTTCTTTAGGACTGGACTGGTAAGTTTTGGAAAGAAGATATCGGTTTGATCTTTCACATTTTTTTTTTTTTTTTTTTTTTTTGGTGAGATCTGGGCATGTGGACTTCTTTTGTTAGTCCTAAATCTTATACAAAGAAGGTTGTGGCAAAAGAGAGGATCTATGGGGTAGACCAGGTTAGACCCTGTAGAAGAACATGGGTGATATGAATTGTGGATGGGTGGAAAATTTAGAATGTGGTGCCAGAGAGACGAGGGGTAGATGGCAGGCAGGAAGGGTCCGGTAGAAGACGAGAGGTTGGTTGCAGTGCAGGCAGGAATGGTTGAACTAGTGGAACCTGGTGTAGAGCAGGTCAGACACTGGAAAAGAATGTGGGAGATCTGGCTGGTTGAAGAAGTTGACTGCAGCGTGCGAGAGACAACTGACAACCAACAGGCTCACGTCCCAGAAAGTGCAGCACTCCCAGAAGACTCCTTGAAGGCTGAGGTGCCAGCAAATCCCACCCCCACAGTAAATCCATTGACTTCTTTAAACTCTTTTCTTTGGGTAACTTCATTTAGTATCGTGTGCTCAATACCAAACAGGTATCTATTGTTCAAGCATACCTCCAATCCAAACTTCATATGTCTTTATATATAACTTTATATGTCTGAGTTGTTGATAAGATTTTGCTTTCAATTATAACTCTAAGCTCACTCCAGCAATTTAAAAATGTCACCTTTATCAAATAGCAAATACTTGCAAATGCCGACTCTCCTTTTCTATTTATCTTCTATTAGCAGGTCTATTCCACAATGATTTGCTTCATAAGAATGTGAGAAGACAAGACAGAAACATTACCCAGCCAAGTTTGCAGCAAGGCAATGTAACTAAGTAACTGGAATGTGACGGTAATATGTAATGTATAAAATTAATGGTATGTTTACATATTGGCAATAAACAGCTGCAACTTCATAATTAAAAAGATGTATGAACCATGCTAGAGAGATGGCTTGGTGGTTAAGAGCACTTCACAGAAGACGTGCATTTGGTTTCCATAATTCATGTTGGATAGCTCACAGCTGCCTATAATTCCGGATCCAGGGGATCCTGTACCTCTGAAGAGGGTGTATGATCATTTGCATACACCCACACACAAACACATATGCAAAAAAAAACCAGATATATCAACTGAAACGGCACTGAGCTTTGAGATGACAAAACATTCCCAAGACCTAAAACTGAAGGTACAAGTCTAAAGCATTACTACTGAGACACTGAAAGACCACCTACCAGACGAAGAACAATCTTCTTAGAAGATTTGGCGATGTTACCCTATTAACTCTAGATTTAGCTATAGACTTAGATTTGTATATCGATTCAAAGCAATTTCAATTAAGATCTCAGGACACTTTTGCATGAAGACATACGGTTTCTAAAGTTTGCCAGATCATGCTCTGAAGAAATTTCCTACACTTATATTCTATTTTTTTTAAAGATTTCATCAAAATCTGTTGTTTGAAACATGTGAGAATGAAAGAACAATTTGCTGAAATTGTATCTCTATAAATGGGATCTCATCAAAAAGTAATGTATGGAACATAAAAATGACTCTAGAAACTCAATAATTAA